CTTAATCTATCCCTTGCCCAAGAGGAAGTGACCCATCCAGGCGAACTACCTCCCGTAGTAATATTTTACCGCTCGGGCAGCTCACTCCGTTCTTAATCCAAAAATATTAGTACCTGCAATGGCTACCGAGCAATACCTATATGTGAAACTCGTATAAAAGTTATTTGTGATCAGACCTATGAATGTGCTTTCATTTCTGTTTTTTTTTTTCCTAACAAGATTAAGCTTTATGAACAATTTGAACTTGGTTTTTCCTAAGATGGGAGATCAACCATTTAATCCTCAACAGTGTCTAAAATCAAATTTCTCCTTCTACCATCACTCCTAAATCAAATAATTCGGATGTGAGAAAAAAGGAAATGATCGCCGATTATGAAAGCTCTTGATTATCAAATAAATTCTCTTTGTTAGTACCATAGGAATGTTTAGATAATAGTAGGGAGAAAATGCATGTCAATGTGAGGTTGTAAAGGGTTAAAGGGGCAAATATTTCCTATGCCTTGATACTTGAAATTGTATCGGAATACACCCAAGTGAATGTCAAAATGTAGACAACGTAAGTTATGTGGGCATAAACAGTGCCATCAGTTCAACAAACGTGCTCTGAACGAAACATTTTATATTTGCTTTTTCCTGACGATCGACTAATGATTAAACTAACAGATGACACAACAGATGTTTACTTTGTAAGCAAGAATTGAGGACAATTGAAATGATTCAACCGAGATGATAAACACTGCTGAAGGGTTACCCCTACTTACTAAATCAGGATAATGGAAAGTTTTTGTTGAAATCTAAAAACAACAAGTGAAAAATGAAAGCTGTAGATTTAGAAGTGACATCCGCAAATTCCTTCGTGATTAAGCAAAGAACGGTAGGTTTGTGGTTGAGAAACCTGATGCTTTACAGTATTATTATAAGGGATAAGCAGTTCTTTTCTTGTCCTGGCTATGGTGTTATTAACAAAGCTGTTTAGACAATCCAACAGCCAAATTGCTCCAGTTAAATACGTATAATTGGTCTGGTAAGAAAAAAAATACCGCCGGTTGTGTGAAGATAAGAAAAACGTTTAGAATAAACTTCTGACTTGATTGGGAAGATGGTTTGACGTTAATTAATTTTTTTTTTTGAAGAGATGTTTGATATACTAGGATTGTAGAATCATCACGTCAGAGGTTCAGCTTCATGTACAAGTTATATTCCCAAGTTGTACTACCATAGCGTGGTTCTTAAAGGCACAGCGCTCTTGTTCGCAAACTAACTGCGGAAGCAGTCATGAAAGCAGTATGTTTTCACTTACCATCCACAGCCACTGTAGTCCACAGCATGCTAAGGATAAGGCAAACACGGTACATCATCTTTGAATCTTGCATTTAGGGATTTACTTCGATGCCTACCCGTGCGTAACTGTCAGAACACAAGCCAGTATCGATAATCACATCGTCCGAGGAATTGTACACAGGCCCTACATCAGTAGCATTATCCTAAACGTTTCAACACAGAGGAAGCCTTTAAAGGATACCAGTTCTCAGATCCCCAGTTCCTTTTCCCAGGTCAAGAGCAATTCACGGATTAATTTTCCTGTAGTGCAGTGAGTTTGATCAATATGCCTCTTGTCAACTTCAGCTCTGTTTAGGGTTGAGTTGCCAATTAGGTTGGTATATGACACCACAATTAGACTATCAGCTTACAGTTAAATAGTAAGAGTGCCTTTTACCGCTGTAAATTAACTAACCACGCGATTGTTTGTAAACATACGCTGCTGTTGCTTTGCTATCTCGTCAAGTCTCCAGCCGCGAGGCATCCTGTACCTGAGCTCCACAAGAAAAAGACAATACAATCTGCTTGAGATTGATAACAAACACCTGAAAGCTCGTTCATGAAAGCACACTATTCACCTGCTGAAC